AAACAATTAAATGCACATGGTCATACAGGACAATATTTGAAATAAATAATATTATATTTAACTGTAATAAAGAAATAAAAGAAAAAAAACTATTAGTATTATAGGAAGATCAGGTGGATAAAAATATAAATACATGTTTATATTATAGAATTTTAATTCAATAGCATTAAACTCCTATAAAATAAATGATTCACCACTTTTAATTATAATTTATAAATACTTAATTTTTGGGTTTACATTGCTGAAACATGTTTTCATTATTGTGTTGACACTAGGTACTGAATGATTCGTTTTTAATTTCACATATTGTCTTTAAGTTTGTATACAATTGTGTACGGTGTAAACATGGGCAGGAAGGCTCTTGAGAGAAAATTGAAACGAATTGTTAAAAACACCAAAAACCCTAGGGGACAACAAAATACAGGGATTTGCCGTTTACATTTGGACAATAATAATTTATTGTTAGTTTATATCGACACTGGGAGAGCGACCGAGTTAATTGCAAACGTAAACACCGGTATATAGTGAATAAATAAAATCATTGTCACGCCTTATGGGTAGGGAGATGATTCTGGTAAAGGAAACAAAAATAATAAAAACACTAACTTAAGTATTAACGGACGGACAGGATATTGGGAAATTGGATTACTTGGTTATAAAATATCAATCTTTTCAATGATAGATACAACGATGTGCAACAAAGTCAGTTTCAAGTCTTTCATCCTGAGTTCTAATGTTTTATATTTTGTTTATAATATTTATATAACATGTATGACCTTCAATTATAGTCCCGGAATTATTGTTGTTTTAGAACAATAATTAAATCTACCAATTTTTGACCAAGACTGTACACTTTTGCTGATAACATTTTTAAGTAGAAACGTATTTTGAATTTTAAGAGCATAAATAAACCTATTTGTGACATATATAATATCTTGACATTATATTTACTGGGCTTGAATATAAATACAATTTTGTATAAACTATTTGAATGGCTTATTTGGATTTTGTTACGAATACGTACCTATAGTATACATACCAATTTATTTTAAATGATTTGAATATAATTTTAACAATTAATTATTGAAGATTACCTATAGTATAGTTTTATAAACACTAATAACATTAAACATTTTTAACCAAAAACCAAATTTAATTTTGATGGTAGTATTTAATTTCGAATATTAATACATATTAAATTAGACCAATTCATTACAGACATTAAAAATATCAAAAGAAACTTTATTTTATTTGTCACAAATTAATTTTTATTTGACTCTAAAGGCTAAATTCTATTTTTTTAGTTAGTTAGATTTTTTAACCGTAAATGTTTTTTTTCAATATCAATTTGACGGGTAAACTCACACGAATTTTTGATCACAATGGCCTAAGTCATAACTTTTTATACACACACAATTTAAAAACGATAAACATGATAAATAACATCTTCGCGTTTATATTGATATTGTATATTATAGCAATAATGACAATTACCTAACACTAAACTCATTGTTATTTATTATCTAGGTAGATATTTTACAGTAAAAGAGTCCATTAATTGTTATAAATTCAGGTCACTCTGAACCTGCGCACTAAAAAATATATTTAGACGGTGAGAATAATTTTGACGGTTACCTGCGGGACTTAATGTAAGCATTAAAGTGCTAACTCGCAACCTTCCGCCATTGTCGTCCTCAACTTAACTCATGTCACGTACTCACGTCCAAACACTTAAAATCTTTTAGTCATTGATACCAATGGTCATAAATCAGAATGATATATCTGTTTTGCATTCATGCGAATACTCGTTAAACGAGTAGAATATTAATTCAACTTTTAAGAGTATTCTAACTGAATTATTTCTGTTGTATTCACGAAAATAATAAAATAATTAAAAATCAATGAACGCGCAGAGTGAGTATAGTATATGAACACGCACTTATGCATATGAGTTTAATATACGAGATAATAACATTTCGAAACGTCGTAAAAAAAACATTCAAAACCAAGTTTAATAAAATAACACGCACCGTAGAACAATTATTATTATTGTGATACATTATGCGTGATTAAATTTAGGTTCACGGAATAAATTTAATAGGCCATCCTCTTACCATAATCCAAATCACGCATGACATAGCTATAATAATTACTTTTAGAACTTTTACTAAATTTAAGTGTTAAGTACAATGCCAGTACCTATAGCGACTGTTTACTTGAACCGTTTTATGATATCATAATTAAAATTTACAAAAGCAACAGAAATATTTAAATTTAATGACAGTTTATATTAACCTATGTTTAATTTTATGCGATATACAAACAATTATTTCTCCAGATACGAGTAGCTTAGTTCAGACATAACAATGGTGAACTAATATAACTAACTTCACTATACAATGTAATAAACATTAAGGGACTTAATCGTTTGCTTTAGAATCTTTATGACTACGATTAACTTGTTTGTTAGGTGAGTTTACTATTATTTTCCCCTTCTTAATCAATCTAAAATAAGCATTGTACTTATATTAAATATATATTACAACACATTTGAGTTATAAATAAAACTGAGTATTTGAATAAAGTCACTGTAAAATATATTGTAAATTTAAGTATGTTTTCACTTTCAATAATGCATATTACCTATAGAGTATAGACTCAACTGTAATAATTTATAGTATAATAATATATGATTAATACATTTAACATGACGTGTCAGGAGACACAATACTTTTATTACAATTATAACAATAATAGAGTGAATCATATACACATTTTCTTTTAGTTTTTAATTAAGTAGATAATATAATATGTATAGTATTGAAACAACGAAGGTCTCGTATTATAATAATATGTCTTATGTATATATATATATTTAATACTTATTAATTAAAAAATGACGAATATTACACTGTGTTACGAGTTAAAATATATTATTTTATAATAGCAAATTAAATATTATAGTAATATTATCCATCAAAATGTATTAAATAATTTAAATGCAAAGATAAATCAAATTGTCGGTTGAACGACGAAACGCATTTAAACATTTTAAATTGTTTCAGTTCGTTAAACATGTGTTGGGCACCAAACTTTTAAGTAAAACAGAGAACAAGGATTTCAAAAAGGACGAAATGACTTCAATAATTAAAACGTGAATTTATACGATAAAAATAACAATAACAATAATGGAGCGAAACGAACGAGAACAGCTAACGAAATAGCATACGTATACACATGATGCATTTATACACAATGATAGGTGAACTAGCGTACGATGTAGGAATAATAAGAAGTTAGTTTAAGTTAGTTTTCCTGGTGAGCGTTGACCCGTGTGCAGTGAAATAGGCTGGGAATCGGGGGGGGGGGGGTGCATTATTATTATATGGGTGTCACATAATAGGGTTGTGGATTAAAAAAAAAAGACCATTCTGAGGGAAGCGAGGAATGTAAAACGTTTATAGTGACTTACATTCGTTAAATTACACTTAAAGTTGCACAGGGGTATCTCACCGTTTTTAACTGTTTCTTACATATATTATCCTTCACCCGACAATATATTATATTCCTCTGCCCGCCGGCTGCATGAACTTTAAAACTTTCTTAACTATTTAAATAGGTAATGAAAATTAGTAATTCTACTTTTAAAATATTTACAATCGATTTTTACGAAACACGGTTTCTAAAGTTTAAATATACCGTCCGTACAAATATGAGAAATTATAATATTATTAACTGCAACTTGGTAATGCAATAATCGTTGTTCGAAATCATAATTCAAAAATATAAATTAGAAAAAAAAAGAAGTTATTTACGGGAACGAACACGGTGAGACACGGGCGATAAATATCCTACGATGCAGCGCACATAAATTATAAATTACACGTTATAAATTATTATACCTACGCATCTTACATGGTGTCGGATCTGTGGCACAACATATCGGTCATAATATTTGACAATGAGCGAAGCAACTCGACGACGTGGCAACTAGTGCACATGACACAAACCCAGCTAAAGGTACCTAACTAATAATATGGATGCGCACGAAATGACTTTGCGTAACGACGCGTAATGCGACGATCGTAATATTATTATGCCGAATACAAAGGACACCGATACGAGTGATGCTTACCAGCAAACGTTACATTGTACACACGACATTATACTATTATAATCATTGTAGATTTCTCAGCCGTAATATATTCGATTAAGACCTGTAGTTCCTCATAACTTTACCCTAACGCAGCAAATGCTGATAATATCAGCCTGATATTATGATCGTGATGTTAAGATCCTTTACACCGCCGCAGCAGTAAACGATAGTTCTACGGTTTTACACATTACTTGAGGCAAAATAATATTATTACAATTTTAAAATTATTTTTGTAAATATTATACATCTATATACACAACCGTAAACAAGTATTAATTCTCAATAGCTCGCAGTATTTTATTGACTCAATACGTGTTATTTCATATTTGTCACTCGTTAATATTGTTTTATTAGACGTTTCAAGAGTACCTCTACCTATATTAGAATATTAATTTATGGATTTTGATAGTGACGTTGAGGAAAAAGTCCAAATTATTGTATTTGAAAACAGTAAATGCTTTCGAATATTATGTACCGCAAGTGCCCGAATATTGATGAGTTTCTATACTTACACTGTGGCACGATCAGCTGGATGCGCACAATAATGTGCACGACGATCGTATACGACTGGAACAAGTAGCAACCACCTTCGACCGTCGTCCGAGGCATCGCAGTGGTTGGGGATGAGCGTTGGGGGGGGGGGGGTCGGGGCCGAGGAATTTCGGGTGAGGGTGGCGTTGAGGGATGGTCAACAAGACTACAGGGCCACGTCACATCCACCGTCGTCCACTGGTTGGGTGACGCTGATGTGTATGGCGCTGTACGGCAGTATGCTGGTGATGGTCATGCGGCGGCTGCCGTGGTGGCCGTGGGCGCAACCGCACAGCGCCGTGTTGGCCGTATGCTATTTGAACCGGAGCGCGCACTGCTGGAACACCAGCACGGCCACGACGGCGGCGAGCACTACAGCGCCGGCCACGTACACGAGTGCCAGGTGTACGAGGCTGGTGACGTACAGCGTCCGGTTGCACCACACGTTCGGCTCGTACAGCGACGACGGTTCCGAGTCGGGCCAGTACACGGACAGGATCCAATAGTTGCCCAGCGCGAACCAACCGGCCAGGAACGCGGCCAGCCCGACGGACGCTATGCGCGACCCCATGGACGACACCATGTCCTCGCGCGTGCCCATGTCCGGCCGCCGGCGCTTGTTGTACCGCAGCGACTTGACCTGCCGGCACAGCAGCCACACCATCTTGATCGTGCCGAATATGCCTCCCACGATCATGTACACCGGTATGTGCGGTTCCCGCGGACAGTCCCGGACGAACTCCACGCCTGCAACACGCCAAAACCGACGACGACGAACGCCGCCGTCGCCATCCGCCGCATTATAATTTTATGATAATTTACAATATTTATACGGCCTATTCGCGCTGGCCGGCACTGTCACAGTATTGAACATTATCATTACATTTATGCCTCGCAAAGTGTGATGTGCATGTGCAAACGCGCGTGCTATATCGTGTCATGTCAGGGTGATTATTATATCCCGGGACAATCGATATTCCTTGACCCCACCTATAGCGCCCACGCCTGTATAGCTCCGACTAAGTTCGGTTCGGTTGGTTTCGTTTGGGTCGGGGATTAGTGTGAGCTAATCAATTCGTGCGCAGCGGTCCTAGAGCTAAGGGTAAAAAGGTGTGGATATTATCAGGATACGACAAAGCGTATCTGGCAGCGAGACAATCATATTGTAATGGTATTGCATATTTTTTTCTTGTTATATCCGTTTTAGCATGTGGTGGTGCACGGTCTCAGGTAATATTAGTAATATTTATTTCGCCGAAAAACGATGCATAACAGTAGAAAAGTAGTGCCTATTGCAAGTCGGTTTCTCTGCCAGCTCGCTGCACAAAGATCTGTCTATATTCGCATAGGGAATTGTTATATTATTATTATAAATTAAACTATACTAATATTGTCCAAGTACCTACCTAAAACCTATGTAATAGTAGGTTAATATATAAAATTATGTTGAAAAAACACACACTTCATTAAAAGAACGAATTAAACTAATTAATGCGACATATAAATTAATATATTATACGCATAAATTATTGTATAAACTGTAAAGGTATGTTCTAAATAATAAACACAGTGTGTCTCCTCATTTTATCTCGTCAATAGCTCTTCTTCTAATTAGGGTCTTGGAAAATGATTACTAGGTAATAATTGCAAGCCACAATTAGTATGTAATTATATAATTAAAAATAAAATTGTTTACCTAAACTACTTTAAATGGATTTAATTAATGTTCAAAAAAGTCTTTAGTCTTATATCAATGTTTATTACAAACATTAATTAGGTATTATGTATTTTCTGAATAGGCATTACTTTATTTCTTAGTTTATATTTGTTATTACTGAAGTAGGTAGTTATATTAAAAAAATTTCCTCAAATAGGTAATACCATATAAAATAAATAATGCACATACAATAATATTTTATTTTGTTGTTTTAACTTTAACTTTTAAAAGTTTAATTTTTGGTGTAAAACGAATAATTTGTTGGCCCCCTCCCCATAAGCTGAGTTTCCAATAGTAAAATAAAATGTTTCCATTTTTTTTTCCAATTGACACTACAATAGTATGCATCAAAACTTTTAACAATTAGTACATTAAATGTTGACTATTCAGCTTGTTGTATTCCCACCTGCGAATTGAAATGGTACAATAATATTATTAGACTACATGCATTATGATCGTTATCTCTTCTTAACTTGTTACTAAAGTAAATTTGAGTATAATATATTACGGCAGAAAATAACAGTTACAAATAAGTTTTTAAGAAATTATAATTTATCAAAGAATTAGAAACACTTCATCAATATTGCTCCTACTATTTTTTCTTAGTATATATTAACTATAGAACGCACTATTTCTGAAAACCAAAGTATTGTATAATTAAATATAAAAAAAAACAACACGGAATTTGTTGTAGCTTAACTCAAGTGTTGGCTTATAAATGTATTTATTTTTTAGACGTGTCTAGTATGCACATTACATTATTGATCTAATATATTTAATTTATATATTAGGATTTAACGAAACATCTACAACAAATGCGAAAAACAATTATGAAAGGTTGACGGTTCCTTATTTTTATTTTATGAAATTCACACTGGAAAACAATATTCAAACAGTTGTTCATCAATAGGTAACCTCTAAGGCTCTAAGTCGTGTGATATACATATTATGTACCTAATGAATTATATTATAAAACTGAAGAGTTCTTCAATCATAATAATGTAGTCTGTATATTTTTTAACTGCAATCTACCAAGTTAAATATTAATATTTAACAGTGAACTGGCCTAATAAATAAACTACTAAAAGTTTAGTATAAGATTAAATTATTTTGAGTCATAGGTATAAAATATCTCCCCAAAATGGATTTTAATTAATTTTATAATTCTTAGAAACTATGGCTTGCTTACTTAAGTTTATATTTTTTAAAGTTATATTATGGCAGATAGAAAAAGGAATTTTAAAATGTATATTTTGTGGCTTAATTTTGATTAAATCAAATAATTTGGTGATTAATAATCTTTTTTAACGTAGATAAGTAAAAATTGTATTTGATATCACCAGACATAACACTGCGTTCACTTAAACCTTAGAAGGAGAAATTTAAATAGTAAATATAAGAATGACCATGTAACAATAAAATTAGGTACAATGAATTTGCGGTTTCTGGGAGATCGATAAGTATATCAATGAAAAGTCAAGAGTTGGCTACTTAAGTATTTTTCGTTTGTTTTATTTTGTTTCTGATATGTGACAACTATAAAATAAAAATGTTTTTAAAAACGCATGCAACGATCTTACTCTATTTTTGTTTATTTGATTAATATCAAGTTTTTATTTTTAAATTAAATATATTTTATATTTCTATATTAGAAGAGAACTTTGACCAACAGTTTTATCAAAATAAGAATGTTTTGAGTTAAGACATCATAAATTATTTATGTAGTCATTACATAATCGTAGTATAAAATCATAAATAAAGAATGTATATAACTATCTAAAAAAATATAAACATATAATATTTAAGATTTATTGTTATCTTATAATATATTATATAGTAAAATTAGTGACATTGCAATGTTCATATTAAAAATTTAAAAATAATACATTATTATTTTTGTTATATTAATATCATCCGTAAAATATTTAAGTATAGAATTTCGAAGTTGACTAAATTGTACAACTGTTCAACTTCTTCATATACTTATTCTAATATTCAGTTATTGTTTGTAGCATTAAATAAATGAATATAAATATTTTCAATATTATATTTTTATAAGTACTTACTTATTTACATAAAACAACAATACTATATAAGTAAAGTAGTTGGACTAAAAAATATGGTATAATGATTAATATGATCATTCATACATAAACATCCCAAAATATTTTGTAAATTTAAATTTGATTTTCAATACCTGTCTGAAATACTTATGGAAATATTTACCTGTTCTATTTACACATTATTATAAATTATTATTAAATTCCGATAGATGTTTTAAAAAATATAATGAAACAAATTAACTAATAATTTATTACAATGATAAAATTTATATAATTCATAAACCTTCGATATGCTTGCATATTACATGCTTACATTAACTATAGCCAAATTGATTAAAGAACTGTAAATAATGAAGTTTGAGGTTTTTCGTTAAACCACCATATTTGATAAACATGAAAATATTAAATTAAACATTAAAATTACTTTAATCAATTGTATAGGCAGTAATTAGGTACACATAGACAATTATACTTTAAAATTATCTTTTATAGCTAATATATATGCATGCATTCGCATAAGGTGATTAAATAGTATTTGTTTGGATTAAAAGTATACTTTATATTATAACAAAACTTACCAACAACGAACATAATTAAAGGCACCACCGTGAAAATGGACAAAATTACCGTCATTATCACTGAAATCATAAAAATTATAAATCCATTATTATAATTGAGCAGTTAAGAACTATAAGATTCAACGATTCACAATATTTATAACTTAATATAAGGAATTCCTTATTAAAAATAACTAAAATACTAAATAATAAGTTTAATATATCCGTCATGTTAGTCAATGCAATCCATGTCAAATTAATGACAAAAATTATTTATTTAGTACAATATTTATTCTTAAAATATACATTTCATTTTTATTGATCTTAATGTCTTGATTTTTAATCCTATTATTACTACACTCTAGTTTTTAGAATTACTTTAAGTATATATGTTTTATTTACCTATCTGATAATTAATCCTATCAGAAGTATAAATAAAAGACTTAACATTGAATGATACTTTAATACTTTTACTTATTAGTTATTTTCATTGTGTTAAGTATGTAACATTAGTTCAAAATACAATATAACATTATATTCAAAAGAATAGGATTACCCCACAAATTGTATTTCTTTTTCAATAAAGATAATAAGACACAAATGGTAGGTAGGGAACTATTTCTTCAAGAGGCTCACAAGTGAATTTTATTGTCCTCTGGTCCGGTGAGTTCGTGGTTCAGTAGTTCGAAATCCTATTCAGGTAAATTTACCGGAGAAACCAATAAAATACGACAGCTCTCTGTGAGAATTGTAACATATAACACATAATCTCGTGGGAACTTCTAAAATCTTTGTTAGTGCCAATTAATCTCGAGACAGGGACAGATTTATAGAGAGACATTGAAATAATTGTTCAGATTATATAACGTACTTACTACTTAACCTACATATTCTATAATACGATTTCAAAAAACATTTTCATAGACAATTATAACTTAATATTAATAATACAATTTATTATGATAACACAAATTTTTGTTGGATTTCCGTTATTAGTATTTGAACAGTATTCTATCTTTTCGAGCTGTACACAGTTTAAATGTTTATTAACCATTACTTCAATGCTCGAGTGTCGTAAAGCACACTTAAAAAACAAATTTTATTGTAGGTAGATTCATGATATTTTTTAAATTTGTTAAGTGCTTAATGTTATTGTATATTTTACCAATTTATAAATTCCTAATTTACAATTCATTATAGTGTCAATTTTAATTTCCATGAAAACTATATAAGACTAATGTATATTAATATATTGTACTATTTTTCATTGATTTTAATATACCTAATGTCCTAAGCATTCTATTAAATACAGAAATAATTTGTATCAACCAGCTTTAAGTTATTAAATATTAAAATTAATGACACACGTCAAATTATATGCTTTCATTTCACAATATCTAAAAAACATTTTCTGAAAGTTTCTATAAATATTAATAAGTATAGAAGCAGTATGATTTTCCAATTTGACATGGATAAAAGTTAATTTGTTGCATAAAAAAAGTGTTTTGATAATAATTTACTGTAGTGTATAAGTAATAATACCTACTTATAAATTATCAGTATTACCTATTGTTTTTATTTTATAATATTATTTATAGAAAATAATATTAAATCCAATTTAATTTATAAATATGATAACTAAAGAACATAAATTAATTTTGTTACATAAATTTTCAATTTAGAAACTGAATCAAATTAAAATCAAATTTTATTAACTCATGCACGCCTCAGGCAAGCATCATAATGGACTATTATTAACATCATTCGGAGAAGCATGAAAACAAATTTTTTTTAATTAATATAATATACATAATAGTGTTTATTTACTTTTGTTTTTAACCATTGTTAATCTGAAACTAAATTAATCTTAATAATCAAAAATGCCAACTTATAATTTAAATTTAAATAAATACTTGTTTAAATTAATATTTGTTTGCGGTATTATTATAATATATATAGCATGTTATGTTAATTCTTGAAATAATAATTGATTAGTACCTCTATAAATAATACGCCGTGGTCGCAAATATTTAATATCATAGTATTAACAGTTCAATCCGACCTACATTTTTGTCACTGGAATCAATACGTTTTAAATCTGTGGGTGATGTATACTCTTTATAATCAACGATCGTATTATACTGGTATACAATAACAATTTAAATTTGCACATGATGTGAATATTTTCATTCATTAAAATTGTTTTAAAATTGAAAATATTATCTATACCATATTATAACGTTTTCGTGTCAATAGTCTATAATTGGTATTAATTGGTGCAACATTTTGTAATTTTTATATCTTGTTCTAATAACATTTGAAAAAAATTGTTTAAATAAAAAAAATCTTTATATTCATTAAATAAAAACTAATGTAGGTATATACAGTACGAATACACCACTCGGTAGATATATTAAACGGTAAGTTATTATTTTCTTCTAACATTACATTAAGTAGGTAGTTATTATATTTTTGGTAAAACCAAATAAATAATAATAATATTTACGACATAAGTTAAAATGAGAAATTAAGTAAGAATCCACTATAGCTTTAAAATAATACCAGCTGTTAAATGAAATATTAAATGCATAAAAAGGCACAAGTCGATCTTTTTCATAAAATCACATTTTTACAAATTTTTGTTTAGATTTGATAAATACATCGTTCTGTATAAGCAAGACATATTTCTAGTTTACAGGTACATTATAGTACCTACATATGACTCATACACTCACTATTAAACGAATTACATACATGCAATTTCGACTGATTGTTCATATTAGCATTTTCTATACACCATAACATTTTGAAAATAATTTGGCTCTTTTTGAGCTGCTTACAGATATTTTCGGTCTTCAATTTTTTTTAGTTTTTTTTTCTATAAATATCAATAAAATTTTCTTTGTTGGGTGAAAAAGCGTGAAAATGTAATTCAAAACTCCTGATATATTGTTACAATAGCATTTGAAAAATATTAAAAATGCATAGGCACAATTTTTTTTATAAGCATTTAAAGTTCGAATTTCGACAAAATTTATAAAATTAAAAATTTAATAATTATTTTGTAGTTAATAATATTCATAAAAAGTTAAGCTTCTATAGCTAGATATTTAAAATTAAAAACAGGGTTCCACGTAAATAGGTTATATATAATTATATAAATTACTTTATTCACAATAATATCATCAAATATTCTTAGTAATATCGTAGGCTGACTGACCGTTTTCGCTCAGAATTGTTTTTCTTATACAATGATATTATATCATTGAAATCAAATATAACACCATCCATTACACATTACAGTGAACCACTTGTGACCTACTGTACAGTAGAGCGACTTTTTAATATTATGTAATACATGAATATTGTAAAATATATTTTAACGTCCAATGATCACAGATGCCGCGGATAGTATATGTTTGATAAAAAAAAAAAAAAAAATATGGAGAAATTTTATTAATTAGTTAGTAAGGAAGTTATGTTTCATGTTTTGTTTTTCTTGTACAGTTATACTAATTCAAAAGCTTGAACCATTTAGTCTAAACAGTATAATATAAGGTGATACATGTTAGTGTTTTCACTTGTCATTTAAAAAAGTTTTATACCTATTTTTTTATTTTTTTTTTTTATTATTATTTAAAATATAGTAAAACAACATTTAAAAAAAATTATACTTTTTACAATATTTTATTTTTGTCATTTTTAATAGTTTTGCTTTTATGAATGACAACTTTCATTTTCAATTTCATAACCTGAAGAAAAATATTTTTTCGGAATACTTCGCGATACCTACATAAAACTTGAATTTCGAACGAGTAGATAATTATTTAATTGTTTAATTAATTAATTAGTTAATTAGTTATACCTACCTAGTTATAAGTATTTAAAGTTTGTATGAGTGGAGTATAGTGAACCAACATTTTACTGAGTAATATGTCAATACTGAACACTCTGCTCATTATACCTTTTTAATACTGACGATGGAAGAGTAATAATTAATTGCATGACATGTAGGAAATTAGATTATTATGTATCGAAATACTTCAAGAAATATTCTGCTTCAAAATATAAAATTTTAAATGTATGCTGTTTGCAATAACTAAAAATTATGTAAAAATGGTATTTTCAAAGTAAGGTAAGAGTTATCGAAATAATAATTTTATTAGTATAACATACACTTAAGACGGTCACGTTATTGTATATAATATTGTTCTTTGATAATTTTTATTAAGTATTACAAATTTAAATATAATTTACTTCATGTTAAAAGTTCAATTATGTCATCTTTCTAAATCCTTGAAAAATATTCTGCTTCAGAATATGATAATTGATAATGTATCATGTATGTGTTGTTACTTGTTATTCAAACAAATTATTACTTAAAAAATAATGATAAAAATAGTAATAAAGTTATTTTTAATAAATTAAAATTATGTAAATACAATATAGGTGTTATTGGAAATATTAATAATTTTAAAGATTATTATTGTTTATTGTTTAAATTTTAAAGAATTACTCTGTAGATTTTTTTGCTAATATTTTAAGTGAAAGAAAATAATCAGAATATAATTATTATCTCGACGTTTGAGCCATGATATTAAAGATACAATTAGTAATATATTTAGTCAACATTTATAAAAAAAATACATTTTAATTTATTGGAATATAAAAAACAATAATAAGTACTATTTTTGTTTGAAACTATTAAGAATTCTACGAATTCGTTATTTGAAAATAATGAACCTTTAATTATTTTTGAAAACCATATTATACATACCCATAAAACATTTTAGTACTAGAATTACACGTGCATAATAAATTATCATTATTATTGTTTTATATTCATCATAAACAAAGTGTAACCTAACCTAAAAATTATGAACCATCTAATATATTATTATTTTAAACCTAATATTTGGCTATTACACGAGGGAAAGTAATGAAAACTAATTATACCTATTCATAAAACTATTACCATATCTCATGAAATAGAAATAAGCTTTTGAGTAGGTTTATGGTTTTATTTTATTTTTATGTGTATTATGAATTAATATAGGTAATACATGTTATTTATAGAAAGC